ATCTGTGACCTTTGTAGATTTGAACCTGAAAATGTTAGGAAATGTTAATATTCAGAGGTACTGAGGCAGCATCTTGAGACTATTTGTCTCGGTATCGTACCATCTCTGCCATTTCCAGAATTGTTCTTGAACTAACTCAGATCCTCTGACTAAAAAATCAGCAGGGTGACAGTCAGGGTGGCCACCCTGGCTTGGAGCTGATGGATGGTTTGGTTTTTGGACCATACCCGGCTGTGCTCAACGATTACTCCTGGCTCTACACTGAGAATTCACTCCAAGAACTTGGGGGACCATATGGGGTGCGAATCAAACTTGGGTGAGATGCATGCAAAGCAAATATCTCAACCCACCATACTATCGTAGTTAGTAATTTTTATGTAGCTTTGTAGTTGTAATGAATATATGCTTTCCTATGGTCCATGGTTGTGATTGTGTAGTTTTCAGTGGTCTCGTAGAGTACAAGAGTGTACGGTCTCAGCCAACTATTTATTAGCTGCAGTCCCCACATTTTTAAAGCCTGGAAGCGCCTCCATTTCTAGCGAGTTGATGGACTTTGATCATCAGAAGTTTGGGTTAGTTTTGTTTGTTTTGTTTCTTAGATTTTGGTCTTTGCCATCTGGTCTGAGAGACAGCAAGTTAAGAGCATCTTAGAGTCAAGTAGAAAGAAAGGGGGGAGCTTGTGTGTATTCAGTGGTCTGATCAAGGGCCTTGGGCTTGGAGGTGGCAGAGGTGGAAAGGAAAAGTGTGTGTGTGTGTGTGTGTGTGTGTGTGTTGGCCACTTGTGTCATAGGTGCTTGAAACATCCTTCTTGGGTTGGTGTTTCCAACTAGAGGCTTCTTCCTCTCTCTTGACTTCTTTGCCAGTGCCTGATGAAGATCCAGGCACCTTCCCACTTCCTAGAGCCTCTCACCCTTCATCACGATCACGATCATCCTGTTGTTCGTCGATTGCCTCGAGCAGGCCCCAGTAACGTCTCCTTCATCCTAGCCCTGAGATTTTAAAAAGTGGCATATTCAAGGCTCTTTCAGGGTTAGGAGAATGAGACCCATCATTGTTACTGGTATTTGGCATATTGGGTATGCCACGGGGAGTTTGCCAGACTCTGCCGTGTGGGCAGGTTATATTCAGTAACCTGCCAGGTTGTCCAAAGTAAGAATGAGATAATAAGGGTTGAGTTTCCCTCCCCGCCCCGAGCAGAGCTCCGGCAGCTGAAGACTTCCAAAACCAGCCACAGCCATGCTGAGACCACTCTCCACACGCATGAAGGTACCGGCAGAGGAACAAAGGCATGCGGGTCCTGGGGCTGAGATCTCCAAGCCTGCTCGGATCGGGGCTGAGCATCCTCCACCCAGATGCCTGGATTTTCCTCTCCCAGGTCCCGGGGAAGCCTATTGCACTCCTCCTCCCCGTTGGAGAACACTCAGGATTGTGAAGCCAGGGCCCAGAGTGGCGTCTCCTGTGTTCCTCTTACATTCCGTGCTGCAATTCCTGACTCATGCGTGGCGGTGTTCAGTGGTGAGCTGGGCAGTTCTCGGAAGCGGCCAGTGCCTACAAGCCAGGGTTCTTCCTGTGGTCGAGAGTTGTATAGATACCACAGTCAGGTAAAAGGAAATGTTAGGGGAATCTGTTGGGGTTTTCTCGGGGAGTTTTCCTCACTGCATCAAATGGACGTCGGCATGGAATGTCTATTTCCCACCTCAGCCCATTCACATCACATGTGAGGCTTGGAATGACTGTGACTCTCCTGAGAGCAGCAGAGAAGCCAGCCTGCAGGGACGAGAGAGGGGCAGAAGATCTGATCCTTGGTGACACTGTTGAACCGCCCAACAGATCAGAGCGAAGTCTTCGCCTCCCCAGTGCTAATCCTAGTCAGGACAGATGACCACGAGTACACGCGTTCTTAAAATACACACTTTGTTAGTGGGTGATACATGTACAAAACAGCATAGCAGGAGGGGCGAGGGGAGGGCTCAAGCTAGGATGAATTTTTTTTTTTTTTTTGATGGCTGATCAATGAAGGCTTCTGAGGAGGTAACATATGCTCCAAGACCCAACCGGAAGAGCATCCCAGGCAGAGGAAACTGTCACTGCGAAAGCCCTGAGTATGTTTGGAGAGCGTTTGGTGTGAAAAGACTGGCAGAGTGTCTCTGGAGCTAGACTGAAGGGGCAGATCGGTGGAGACAGGGTCAGGGGAAAATGTAATTGTTCCAGGATGGGGCTCTTATTCTCAGGAGATGGAGCACTCTGGGGAATTGTGAGGAAGAGATTGATGTGATCGGATATGTGTTTTGGGAAAAAAAAAAACCCACAGTAGAGGCAGTGAAGAAAAGTTAGGAGGAAAATGTAGTGCTAACTAAACTTGAATATGATTCAGGATAATCCAGGTTTTAGATTTTAGTTATGCTGAAAAACTTGCACCAGTAATCATTTTGTGTATCCTGTTGCACATACAGGTGGTTACTTGAGGGTTAAATAACATTCCCTTCCAAAGGTTCACTTTTTTTTCCCCCTCTCTCCAAAGCAGCATATCTGTACAAGAGTCTAAAGAGTCTACAGTATATAAGTATTCACCAAATCTTGTGAGAATTAGAGAGTCAGTTTGATTGAGGGGTTGTGAAGATGGTTTTATTACTGGAAATATTTCTAAGTGTCAGTAGATAGTGGAAGTGTGGAGATAAAAACCTTGCTTTTCTCCAAGCAAAATTAATTTTATTCCTGAGTTGATTTTTAACATTTAACATCCTTTCAACCTTTTGTTTGTCTTCTTTGCTCCCTCATGTATCTGTTATGAAGGCGGTGTTCTTGGGGTGGATTCTCGAAGCGTTCTCTAGTAAGAAGACGCATTGGACCCGCTGTTGAGAATGGAAAGCTTCATATCTAGTTCTGCATATTACATGAGTGCATAAAGTAGCTCACGTACACTGAAATAGACCTTTCATACCATCTATCTTTCCTGGGTCCCTTGTTCTCCTCTCCGTTTTATTGACAGGTTCCTAGTTAGGGTCAATACTTCTCATTGAGTCTCACTATAAGTCAAATCTCTCATGAGCCAGCGCTTTACTTTTAGGCATAAATCCTCGTAGATCAAGGACAGAAACTTCCCTGTGGATTAATGCTCTGTGATGAGCCCGGAATGAAATTTGAATGAGGAGAAACCTAATTTTTGGAAGCAGGATTTAAAAAAAAAAAATGGCGATGGGAGTGGTGGAGCGATAGTACAGCAGGTAGGGCTCTTGCTTTGTTCGCTGCTGACCTGTGTTCGATTCCCAGCATCCCTCATGGTCCTTTGAGCCCTGCCAAGAGTCAGCCCTGAGCACAGAGCCAGGAGTCAGCCCTGAGCACAAACTGGGTGTGGCCCCAAAGCAAATGAACAAAAAACTCTCGAATTTTCCTTTGGTTTCAAAGAAGCATTCTTTTTGACTTAGTGAACTTCACTGCATGCACTGAGAGTGGGATTCGTGGAGGAGTAGAAGGGGAGTCTGGCATTGACCGAGGGTGTCCTGGAAGTGGGAGGTCTCAGTGGAGTCTCCCCAGCACTGGGCAGTGGGACTGCCTCCATTTTCACACACACGCCAAAAAAAAAAAAAAAACACAGAGGCTCAGAGACTTTGTTTTTTGGGACTTTGAGGCCAATTAGCTGAAGTGGTACCCCATCTGAGTGACCTCCAGGTCCATTTTCTCAAAGAGGCACACTGGTGATGGTAGAAGGTAAACATATTTTTGTAATTGTCAGCTGAGTTTTGTTTCTCCAGGGTCTGATTTCTTAGTCTGTTATTTCCATCAGCTCGGTTAGGTGATCAGAACATCATTAGGTGATCAGAACATCAAGGTCTTTCTTGATTATTTTGTAGCTTTATGACTGCATTTTCTGTGAATTTTTTGTAGGTGACCATTAACTTCTAATTGAACTCCTAAATTCTAATACAGTTTTTTTTTTTTTTTTTATGTTTTATGTCCACAGTGGGTAGGGCATTTGCCTTGCACGCAGCCGACCTGGTCGGCCCAGGTTTGATTCCTCCGCCCTTCTCAGAGAGCCTGGCAAGCTACCGAGAGTAACTCGCCCGCACGGCAAAGCCTGGCAAGCTACCCGTGATGTATTTGATATGCCAAACACAGCAACAAGTCTCACAATGTTACTGGGCCCGCTCGAGCAAATCAATGAACAACAGGAGGACAGTGCTACAGTGCTTCAATAAATTGTACTTCTTATTTGGATATATCCTATTTTAAGATAGTTTAAAACGTAGAAATATTCCAGAATTTATGGAACATCAGTTTCCCATTAAAATCACAAAACCAGTGATATTTAAAGGATATATGACACTAGGATACGAATTGTGTTTTATAAATTTGTACGTAAGGGTCTGAAACCTAGTCATTGATACGAGAATTGATAAACATCCAAGCAACTCTGAACACCTTGAGGGTTTTATAACAGAATGACTGTGTTGACTGTGCATCATCTCTTAGGGGGCTCATGACTGTTAACTATCATTCTGGTTTAAGTGTCTCCTTTAAGGGAGGTGGACAGAGAAAGAAGGAAAAAGATGAGAAAGTGAAGTAGTGGGAGGCAGGGAGCAGGGATCTTGGGTATGTCGGTGTGTTGGGGAAGTCGTAGCTAGATATCCAGAGAACAGACTCAACAACACTGAAGACATAATATTTAAACTACAACCACCAAACTTTAAGATATGCCTGTCAAAGTGGCAGGCTGGGGAGGGGGTGGGTGCAAGGGAACCTGGGACACTGGTGATAGGATTGGTGCTAGAATATTCTATGCTTATAACTCAACCATCATTGACTTTGTAACTCATAGTTCCTTAATGAAATAATAAACTTTGAGATTGTCAAATGTAGGCCAGTGAGCAAATGAAAATAAAATAAAATAAAATATCTATTAAATGGATATAAACAAAGCTTTGGAGGATAATATCGTGAAATATTTTCATCCTGATAGCCATATATTAATGTTTGCTCTCCATTGTGTTTTTTCCCTCTAGGAGAGAAATTCAAAGTGGAGACGAAAACCATTTCTGTTGATTTTTCATCAGAAGATATTTACGATAAAATTAAGACAAGTTTGGCGGGTCTTAACATCGGTGTTTTAGGTATGTATCTCTGCCACATAAGATTTTTATTGGGTTTATTTTTTGACTTTTACAATGACTGCATTTTCTTTTTGGATGTTAGGCTTCAGAATGCCCGGTGAGAAAGAAACCTAGTGGCTTTTTAATACAGATGCCATTAGATGACTTAAATTTACAAATCTGAATCTTTGTGGGTTAAGTTACGTATTGACTGTTGATTATGGACCAGTCTATAAATTTGATTATTTTTCTCTACCTGCTTTACTTCCGGTCACCCTCTCTCTGTGTCTATTCAGATACAGTTATATCGTAATATTGCCTATTGATCCATTGTTTTTGGTTAAGAAAATGAAGGCTTAAAAATGAAAAATGCTGCTTGGCCTTTTGTCCTAATCACACCCAACACCTCTCACACCCCTCCTTCCCCCCACCTCCACCTTTGTAGGAGCCTTTCTGTAAAATTTCCCCTCTTTGTTCTAACCCCATGACATTTTGGTACACAAATGCTGTGTATCTGCTTATGTACTGTACACATAGCTATGCTTTATGCATGAACCTAGGAGCTCACAGCCCTTATCCTTCAGCTGTTACTTGTGCTCCTGGGGGGAGGCTTTCACCCCTGATGGGAATGACCTGCAGTCACATAGCCTGGTGTTCCTGGAACTCATTTCTCTCGCTGTTTCTTCTAAGCCTGCTCCCCGCTCTGTTTTATTTCAGCTGTCTCTCTCTTACCACCCCAAACGGCTGCTTTTGCTGAGATATGGAATGGTTAGATCTTGTTATGAAAGAGATTCACCAGGTTTTTATAGGAAGAAATGAATTTTAAAGTAACCCCTCATTCTTTCAGTCCTTTCTAGAAAGAAACAGGACATTTAGTTCAGCAAAACTTTGCTTTTTCACTAAATCTCTATCCCTCTGCCTAAATATATGTGAATCTGGTAATTGCCATCATTTCCTTTATTGCTCTATAAAATGAGAGAAAATGCCCTTTTAAAATGTTCTCTATTATGTTTATAAAGAGTGTTTTCTTTAAACACTCTTTTAAAAAAATACTCTTTCAAAAATAAAAGTTGTCTTCCTCCCTCCCTCTTCTCCTTCCTTCCTTCCTTCCTTCCTTCCTTCCTTCCTTCCTTCCTTCTTTCCTTCCCTCTCTCCTTCTTTCCTTCCCTCTCTCCTTTCCCCTCCCTTCCTCTTTTTCTCCCTCCCTCTTCTCCTTCCTTCCTTTCATCCATCCTTCCTTCCTTCCTTCCTTCCTTCCTTCCTTCCTTCCTTCCTTCCCTCCCTCCTTCTCTTCCCTCCCTCCCTTCCTCCCTCCCTTTCTCCCTTCCTCCCTTCCTCCCTTCCTTCAGTTTTGGGGCCACATGCAGTGGTCTTCATGGCTTCCTCCCCACTCCGGCTCAGGGATCACTTCTCCTTCCTGGGCTCTGCAGGGATGGTATAAGTATAGGGAATCTATCCCTGCTTGGCCAGGTGTCCGGCAAGCACCCTGCCCCCTGTACTCTCTCTCTCTTGCCCGTGGGTACAAAAGAAAGAAAATAAATAAATAAATAAATAAATAAAGATAAAAGTTTTTTTTTTTTTGAAGATGACAGCTCCCCTCCTCGTGCCAGAGAAACTCGATCTTTTCTCTACTATCTGGACAAGGCCATTAAAGCCAGTGAAACTTGTGCAGCCCCTGCACGGTACCCTGGGATCTAACTTGACCTGCTCCCTCTCCCAGCTCCTCCTTCTGTCCCTCACCCCCTACCACCCCTTCCCTACTTTCCTGTCGGAGCACCCGCGTCAAGGGACGAATGGAGACAAGGTCTAGTTCTGCATGTTCTTCTCTGGCCAAGGATATCCACTTCCTTCTCTCTTTGCCTTGATCGGGAATACCCAGGGCACCGTCCATAGCTGTGCAGTTCTTGACTTCTCACAGCTTCCAGGTCAGCAGCAGCTCTGACTTACGAGTCAGGTGCTGCCCTTCTCCAGACTGCCCCAACCCTTCCCGGCTTCTCCGGGTCTGGGGCACGAAGGCACAGAAGTGGCTCCGTGATCCCTAGTGAAAGGGGGAATAACTGGGGAATAACTTTGAGAATTAGCCACAGCCTTTCTTAGTTTTGTATAAAACCCGGCAGCTTTTCTCCCCTTTACATGCCTGGACTGTGTGTGCCATTGAAGTTGGAAAATTGTGGGGCATCAGACTGTTGCAGGACTGGAGGGTTATCCAGTGCATTCTGCACTTCTTTCCTGAGCAGGGACCATCTGTAGAGTGCAGTTAGGCATGGAGGATAGGTGTGCTGTGCAGGAGAGCCAGGGCACGGAGCTCTCGGGCATCTTCCCGGCGCTTCTAGAATTCCAGACTTTGCCGTTTCTAGCTGTCATTAATTGCGGGGCGGGGGCGGGGGGAGCACTATTCTAAGAGCCCCAGGAGGGAAGGCCAGGGATGCCACTCAGCATCCTACAATTCACTGGACTCTCTTCTGGCCAGGAGTTAACCAACCTAGAACCTCAGGCACACTGAGGACAAGTTGCTGTGTTTGAGCAGGCTGCAACCAAACTGTTGTGTCGAACATGGGCTGAGATGTCTGCCTCCAACACACAGTCCATGGTAGGTTGGTAGCTGGTTCCAGATCATCATGAACATAATTCTAGCTCGTATTTCCATAACCCTTAAATGTGGATAGCAACAGTTTCAAAAGTGCATTTTCTTTACTAGCTATGTGTTTAGTTTTCTTCCTCCTCTCCACATCTTCGTGGAAATCATAAGCTTTGCATAAGGACGAACAGTCATTCGCAGATAGTCTTATATTTATATTGTAATTGTAATTTTTTGCTTTGGGGAGGCCATACCCAGTGATGCTCAAGGACTATTCCTAGCCTTGCGCTCAGGAATTACTGCTGACAGTGCTAGGGGGACCCTACGGGATGCTGGGGATTGAACCCTGTCTACCACGTGAGAGGCAAGCTCCCTGCTATACTGTTGTTCAGGCCCCTGCCTCGTAATTTTAGTTTGTCACGATTTTCTTCTCTTTTTTTGGGAGGGGTTTGGATTTGGCAGTCTCCCCCAGGTGGTGCTCAGGAGGTCTGGGGACTCTCCTCACTGGTTCTGACACACGAGGACAGGGCCTGCTTGCGCCCTGCAGTTCCAGGATCTTCAGGCTGCACCCAGCAGTGCTTGGGCGCCCGGGTTGTGCCAGGTTTGACCCGAGGTCAGTGCGTGCAAGGCCTGAGCCCTAACCACTGTACCAGCTCCCAAGATTTTGGAGGGATCTGCTAAAACCGGTTCAGGAGCTGAACATCTTGCCACGTCGCGTTTCAGCTCTAAGCGTCTGTAGTGTGAGGAGAGCCCCCGATAGCACTCGACGGGGCCTGTGCTCTTTCCCTTACTCTGTGGCTGTGTAGTCCCTTCCCCTTTCTTCCCTCTCTCTCCCTGCTCCAGAGCTCATAACCTCCCCACCCCTTGCAGGTAAGGGGGAAATGATCCGACTTATCCTCACTTCGCCTCAGCTTAGCGACCATCTCATCTTTATCACATTCCCTAAAATAATAAACAGAAGATTACTTTCTAGTAAGATCTGGCGATTCATATTAAGTCATAGGAATGAATTTTTTCCTACTGCCTATCAATGAAACCTATAATGATAAAATGAAGCGTAAGCCACCAGATATACCCCTTTTGTTTAAATAGCATTTACCACTGGAGGATATCATGCTGAATGAAGGCAGTCAGAAAGAAAGGGCTAGACACAGAATGATCTCTCTCATAATGTGGGACTTAAAGATACACGGCAACGTAGCAACAAAGGCCCAAAGGCAACATAACGGGGGAAGTGATCCGTAGGACTGAATTTGGGTGGGGAGGGGGGACAAAAAAGGGGGACACCGAGGACCTTGGAGGAAGGAAGTGGGTACACTGATGAGCATAGTCTTGGAATATGTACACGGGAAACCATCATGACACTGTGATATTGGTACTCAAGTAGTACCTTAATTAAAAAAATAGCGTTTAGTAAAAGAAACCGATTACCGCCAAAGACAGTCTCAGCACTAATAAATGAATAAATGGCATTAACCACCAAAATATAGTCGTGCCTCAGAAAGATTTTTCCAGGTTACAAAGGAAAATGATAAAATACTTTGCCACATCATAAGCACTGCGGTTTTTTTTTTTCTGGTTTTTTTTTTTTTTATTAGTGAAACACCATGAGGTACAGTTATAGACTTCCAAATTTTTGTGCTTGGGTGTCAGTTATACAATGATCAAGTACCCATCCCTCCACCAGCGCCCCATCCTCCACCACCACGGGTCCCAGCATCGCTCCCACCCCCCAAGCACTGAGTTTTCAATAAGCAGTAGGATAACAGTTGTGCACCGTGTGAATGTATGCTCGGAGGTCAGCAGAAGTTGATAGAAGAGGCTGTAAGTGCTAAGGTTGACAAGCTGGAATCGCGAATGTTCTGTAAAGCGAGTAAGCATCTGCTGTCTCCTTTCAGGCAGATGCCAAGAAACACAGGCTGGAGAAACTGTAGCCGTTTCGTTCTAAACTTGAGCTGTTTATGGCCCTGGCAGCAGTATTGCCTCGTACGCGAACAGTGGCTTGACGGAGTGCTCTCTGAAGCCCCAAGAGGCTGGCACATGGACCTTCTCCTTGGTCTAGAGGCCTTTGAACAGCACGTCACAGGCGGCTTGATTTTCCACAGCCCAAGAAGTCGCCTTGCATTTGAAGTATACCCGCAGAGAATACTTTTCCAATTCCAAACCCTTTTTACTTTTTTTTTTTTAAATTACACTTTGTTGGGGCTGGAGCGATAGCACAGCGGGTAGGGCGTTTGCCTTGCACGTAACTGACCCGGGTTCAATCCCCGGCATCCCATATGGTCTCCTGAGCACTGCCAGGAGTAATTCATGAGTGCGGTGAGGAGTAACCCCTGAGCATTGCTGGGTGTGACCCAAAAAGGGGAAAAATTTTTTTTTCACTTTGTTGTAGAATTAGAAATAGAGAGGTCCTCTTGGAAAAAAGAGTCACTTCGCTTGTGAT